ATCATATGTTATACAAAATACTGTATTGCAACCATAGCAAGTGACCAATATTAGTATAAAATTCAAGTTAGTTGCACTAATGGAGCTTCATAAAGTGTTATATATATATATATATGGACACAAATTATCAAAACAATAGACATTATACATAAAGTTAAGGATGATATAATGTCATAACAGATGACAATTCAGAACATGAGAAATTAAGTGAAAATGATTATGAATGTGTAATATTTGTCATATAATGATGCGAACTGTGAAGAACATTATCTGCATGATTTTTAATATGGTTGTAAATGATGATAATGTATTTAAAAAATAGCAATGATTATGTGAGAGATATGATATGGTCGTCTAAATGAAATAATTATAACAATAATTATAAAAAAATATGACAGATTCAACAACTACCGTTAATTAGACTATGAGCACCAATAATTACACTACAGTTGCTACAATTTTAACTAGTTTTATTTGTGATACAAGCCCAAAACTATAATCATGAAAGACTGTCTAGTTTCCAGATCTTTTATTACCTTATAACATACATTTTATTGTGTTATAATCCCACTTATACCAACGAAAAGATGTAACTAAGCTTAGTGTTATACCTTTTAAATTTAGGGTATTTATTGTAATGCTATTTTCACTGTCAAGACTCTCTATTGCAATGCTGATAGCCAAGGTCCTTCATATTGAAGTGATAGCTAAGAATCTCGTACAATGTTGATAGCTAATTGGTTCTTCATATTGAACTGATAGATAAGAATCTCATGCAATGCGCTGGTGGTAGCAGGTTAGGATCTTAGTTGGAATGTAACATTGAAGGCTAAGAGGTTTTGCAATAAAATCAATATCTGAAGCCCCACCTGTCATTTCATGCTCATAGCCAAAATTTTAGTGCAATATTATGTTGATGACTACCAGTCTCTTGTAATGTTGTTCTAATAGTTAATAGTTTGAGACAATATCATACCAGTTGTTATACAAAAATCACCAAACTTTTATTAGCCTTCACTGCATATTAATGTCTTTTAAATTTTCATTAGCAATTATTTACCTCCAAAACTCATAAGTTTTTTGTTTTTAAATGATAACTATAGAGTTTCGTCACTTTTAAAAATATATATATATAATTGAAATGGTTAGTTTTATGAGTGATTAAATTTAAAAATTGCAATAATTAAATTTATATTATCAACAGAAAAAGAATTTGTATGAAATTTAGCATTTGGTTAAATATTTTATGACACCTAAAAGATTTAATCCATGCTAGATTAATGAGAATTTATGCAAAGAAATTTTATGTCACTTGCTTCCAATTAAGGCTATTCATAGACTTGTACTGTCTTCAGCTGGTTGCCAATAGTTCCAGGATTTTATACTGATGTTGGCATAGGAAAAATCTCTGCAGTTCTTTTGCTGTACTGTTGCAGGAAAATTAACTTGACATAAACTAAATATTAAAGTTGCTGCTCAGATATGACTCTTAAATTTTTATTATAGCCACATAAACCTTGCATGGTGTAAGAAACTCATATAAATGCAATGACATTAGAAGATACAGTAACTCAAAGCATCAATAAATATATTCTAGCCTACAATGACTGACTGGCATATTTTCTTTACAATAAATCCTAGTAAAAGATGATACCCATTTTGTGGAACAGGTTTTTAGCTTTTGACATATTTAGAAATATTCAGAACATGAATCTGTTAATACATTCATGGTTAAGGATACAAAAATACATAGGAGAAAGGTGAGAAACTATGAAGTTTGTACGATTTTCACTGATATTTCCACCTTAACAGCAAGAAAGAATTAATTAGGCTTTGCTATAAAGCATAGAAACTGACAAATGCAACATATGCATTTACAGAGATCTTCAAAACTGGATGCATACTTGAGCAAAACTAAATCATGCATTTTTATTAAATTTGTACCCAAAACACTAACTCACTGAAATATAATACAATAGCCGAATGACATAATAGTCTATGTTTACTGATAAGGGCAATGATATGGAGCATGAACATCGTAAAAATCTTTTAATTTAATTTTCTATTGTTTTTTATAATGATTTGGTATGGATTTTTACCAGGTCTTCCCAATTTTTGCCTGTACCATCTTGATCCACTTCACCACCCCTGCACATCTTACACCTGAGAAACATCACATCATTCTTGGTAAAACTGTTGACTCACCTGAGCTTCAACTATGTATATTATTTACCAAAAGAAAACAAAAGAGAGGATAAAAAATATCTATCACTTGAATCTCTTAAGCCCGAGATGTGAAATCTTACTAAATAAATAAGCTAAGCTGCCTTGGCACAAAAGTAAAAATTGATAACTGTTAAGCCTCATGATATAGTGGTAAATAAATGTTTATAAAACACACACAAATGCAACATTGCACATCTTTTTTTTTTCACATTTTGACTGTATGGAGTATTAAATTTTCTTAACTCTGATAGGATCAGAGTTAGTTTAGTCCATTTATTATGCACCCCATACCCATCTTGTGGGTGGTAGTGGAAAGGGTTACAGAGGCACATAATGGGCTCAGGGACTGAACCCCACAATTCGTTGTGGGGTTCACAATTGAGTGTCACAATTGATATGTTTGTGCAGGACAAACATATCAATTGTCACACTAGCTCTCCACATATGTCAGTTGCTTAATTTAGAAACTGTACTTGTGGTCGCTCTTGAACCCATTGTTGATGTGACGACTTATACTTAATTTTGTAACTAGCTCATCAAGATTGTAACTTGCTTAGCTAAACGAATTGTGGGGTTCAGTCCCTAAGCCCATTATGTGCCTCTGTAACCCTTTCCACTACCGCCCACAAGATGGGTATGGGGTGCATAATAAATGGAATAAATTACCTCTGATAGGATCATCTTTATGAATACAGTAATACTATTCTGACTTTAATTCATGCTGTAAGATTTCACATTTCGGTTCCAACTTTTCTAATATTCATTATAACATGAAACAAAAGTTGGTATTATAAGACATTCTATTTATGTGTGCTAAACCTTCATAAATAAACTTCTTCACTAGAAATTTTCTCATGGCAAGTTCATATAAAAATGAAACTTACAAAGACGCCAACGCATAGGACTCTCCTGTAATATGATGCTGAAGGGATACCTTCATGAGCTTTCCAACTGGTAGATAGCTTTACTGGAATGTTAAGTAACTAGTCACGCAAGCTGTATATATTGTCACTTCACTGCCACAGGAATATAACTTCCGAACTAACAGTACGGGATGCACATCATTTCCGATAATGTGTTTGTGTGTATGTTTGGGAATGTTTTCTTCAACTTTATGCCTCTGTTTACCTAAAAGCAAATAAGAAACAAAGTAGTTAGGCAACTGTTTTGCTTGCATCCTATGAAACACCCAGTATTGGTCTTAAGGAACCTCAATAAGTCTAAGAGACTCACAGTCCTTAGCAATGAAAAATCACAATGCTTTAAGAAATTACGTTAAAGTAACTATGACTGAATATCTAACTTTTAGAATATATCTAAGGTTGTTCAGGCTCTCAAGAAAGAATAATTATATCACAATAATTGCATATCTCCAATAATGCAGCACAGAAAAATGATGCAACACCCTTAAATGGTTGACCCCCTAATTATAATAACATGCATTCTAGTTTTTTTTATAGCTTTTTAACTTATAATGTTGATGCAATACAAGCACTCTATTTACTGGTCACATATGCCTACTTGCAAATGTGTGTAAAGTACTTGCCTTCTTGTGCATACACTACTGCACTTTTAGTTTTTGAACCCTGCCTTTCCAACAAATGGTTCTTTAATATTTTGACTCCCAACCTATGTTTTAAATAATATCTATAGACCAACTACAGACCATCTCCAGGACTCGATCCACAACCACTGCTGTCTAATTCCCATGTACCTTTTTACTACTAGGTGAACTCAGGCATTTGATGAAAGAAAATATTGCCCAATGCTTCTTTGCAGGAAATGCGGGGTTCGAGACCGCAATCCCCATTTGTGAGCAAAGATTTGTCCACTGAATGTGTGTGGATGTGTTTGTGTTTGTTTCAGCTACTGCATCTTGCTAGTGAAGTGACAGGTTAAATTACAAAGGGTCTCCATTCTCAACTTTCCAACTGTATATGTTCATCTACAGACTACTCTTCTCCATTTTCTCTTCCAACAGTGTGATGGATATGGCTGTCATATTATTAAAAAATTCAGAGAAGTAATGTAGCATTATCCAAGTCTTGTCTGTCTATGTCAGTATCTGCCTCTGTTTATCTGTCTGTCTCAGTCTGTCTCTGTGTCTCATTCTGTCTGTCTGTCCATCTGTCTTTCTAGCTCTGTCTCTGAATCTCTCTCTCTGTCTGTCTCAATGTGTCTGTCTATCTCTTTCTATCTCTGTATCTGAGTCTGTCTGTCTCCGTACACACCAAGATGTGCTCTCAGGGTTGAGCTAAGCTCCTATTCCCGCCTTCAGAATGTTATCAGATTAATGCAATGACTCATTTCTCACGTGTTTATCATATTTACATAAAAAAATTTGTACTTCCTTAAATGCTTCCATATTAAATCTGGAAGTACTTAAGAATATTCCTGTCTTAATCCTTCCTTCATGGTCTGTCATTGTCACAGTGTTCATCACGTGTTAATTAATTTCTTCATGATTTACACACACATTTACACACACACATACACACATACATGTCGTCTAATAATATTACTGTGTGAATTTTAATGCTTTTCATAAACAATAGTAATTTGGTAGCCACATCACACTATTGTGAATGAGGCCTCAAGTAAGTAGTCTGTAAGATACCTTGCCGCTGTACCACCGCCAGTGCACCATTGGAGACTCGAAGTATATAATATATATATATATATATATATATATATATATATATATATATATATATATATATATATATATATATATATATATATATATATATATATATATATATATATATATATATATATATATATATATATATACTGCATACAGTATTTCCTTTTAGCATTATAAAAACAGGAGTCCTCAACAGTGGCCCTTGTCATTAATTAAACCATAGCTTTTGTCCTATTTATGAATACATTGGAATTATCTTGGTTGGACTGAACTTTTACAATACAGTATATTCCAAATTGAAAACATATACTTTTTGCTATTTTGGCTATTTATAACATAAATATGTAATAAACATTAATACAGAAAGAAATATGGAAACAACTGCTTGGCTTTGTAATGACATTCGAAGCCTCTGATATCAGTTACATAATTTTATTGTGCAAATGTCTGTGTGACAGATTGGCATCCCTTCTCATGGCACAACTCCTTTTGATACAGATAATTTCACTCCCTGTAACATATACTGAAAGCATAACATTTCCGTTAGAATTTGCACTATATATAAATTTACAGGGCATGAGAAGAAATGGAATCAGTAATATAAAAAGTAAGACCCGTTTCTCTGTAAACTGACACAAGAGTCTAAAGTGAAACTAAGCTCAAGTTGTGACTGGTAACTAATGAAGATTCTCACGAAGAATATTAGCCATTATACTACTAATGGTTCTACATACAAAGATTTTCCTCTTAAGAAAATGCTTCTTATACCAGTAAAAATTATATGGTTAAAAAGAACCTGATGATGTCTTGTATGTGTCACATAGATTGGCACAACCACAGCTTCAGCCTCTGTTTTCTATCCTTCACTTTATCCAACACTTGTATTTATGCTCTCTACAGTTTAGGCATTTTGTTAAGCAATATTGGCAGTATATCATATCCTTCACTTTGCTAACTGTAGATTGTCTGCTCAGTTTTCTATTATTTTTTTTCAAAGCACCTCACATGCACTCTAATCTTAGAGTTAAATAGATTATTTAACACTTTTCTTACTAAAGTACCTTGCACAGCATTTCTTTTCTGTACATATGACCATAACACCACAAGAGTTTTCTTTTTTGTGCATTATTGCGCAAAATTACAATTCGTAATCCATTGATGAGTTTGACTTCAGCTAGTCAGTTACACATGCATTCAATGATCTCCATATGAGATCTTGAAATAAGTTTATCTTCTGATGCAATACACAGTTATCACAATGTTGCACTTGGTGACTTCCACATGCAATACAGTTATCACGGTCTTGCATCTGGTGACTTCCACATGCAATACAGTTATCACAGTCTAGCATCTGGTGACTTCCACATGCAATATAGTTATCACAGTCTTGCATCTGGTGACTTCCACATGCAATACAGTTATCACAGTCTTGCATCTGGTGACTTCCACATGCAATACAGTTATCAGTCTTGCATCTATTGACTTACATGTGCAATTCACAGTTATCAGTGAATGCAAAAGCTGGTTGTCTTTTAATTTCTTTTTCCTTCCTGGGTTTTGTATGTAGTGCTTTGTTTTTTGTGTCTTCACCAGCAAATAAAGCATTTCGTATTTTCACAATTCTCATCGATTCTATAACAACTTATATGGATATACATTTTCCGGTTTCACATTTAATTGTAATACCAGTACAAATGTAATATATGGGGATGATTTAGAATGAAATTGTTCCTTTACTCTTCAGCTTATTATTGGAACCTGTGTTTGTAATTTGGAGACAATTTTTGCATTATAGAATCTTTTATAATCAGTTTATAAAAGTTTTGTATAAAACAAAAATCCTTGTGTAATTAAACTCAACTTGACAATTAGTTTTACATCTGTATCATTACTTTATTACTGTACATGATCTTGTACATAATAAAGAGCATGAATAATGTATGTAGCCTAATTAATTACAGTCAAAACATGTTCATTACAAATACCCTTTGAACCACATTTCATTCTTTGATCTAGTATTTCTTAATAAAGAAAAACCATAAACCAAGGTTTCAGTTTTTCTAACTGATGCATATATAAAAAGATGAACACTATTATAACATAGATCCAACTCTTGCAATGGCTTAATTTGGAACACTTTTTTTCCCTTTTCCTCTTGATTACCTGAATACACTTAAATCACTAGCAGTCTTTGAGTCTGAGAAAGTTAGCTGAATTCTTTCCACATAATTCATCAACTAGCAATGTTTACCAGCTGCTTCTCAGTCACAGTATGTGTGTGAGTGCATAAGTTAAAAGGTTCAGAGCACAGTATATATGTCTTCACACATGTTTCCTCCCTCACAGTTTGGAAGCAATCAGGTTAAATAGATCACAGCCTTGCATGATACAGCTTAGTTGCTCACCTGTATCCCATGCAACCTATTTACCTTCACCAAGGAACTGAAGAAAATCCTTCACCTTTATTTATCTTGCATAATTTTAGCTTAGTATTAGAACATACTATAAAAATCTGAGCATTATAAATCCAGAATGGATCAATTTGTGGAATATATTATATTTATAACTGATGCTACTTTGGGCGATGAAGGAATCTGAGCATTACGTAGGTCAGAAAACGCACTGCAATCATAAATCCAACAAGAATTGCAGTGTTAACCCAAAGAGGAAGAGGTTCTCCTCTCTCTGCCAGAATTTCATTTATGGGAATGGAATGGGAATCCCCATCAGAGGGCAAAATTTCAACACAGCTGTTGAAGCGTGAATTCTCCGTCGAACAACTGAGGAGAGAAAAAAATAAAATGTTAAGTAATTTTCCCAGCAAATTTTATTATAATTTACTTTCTATGCTAGACATTTATTGAATTACATTTTCCAGAAAAAACAATATGAAAGGTGAAAAGGAGAAATTTAGAAATCACAGATCCCCAGGTGCATTTAGAGATAAAAATAAAAAGAGGCATGATAGGAACCAAGCTGGAAATGTATGAAACAATATGGTCTATTTTGGCTACCATTTTAGGTGATTCAATATCAAAAGCTAGAAGTATAAAAATTCTATATAAACAATGTGCAACAAAAGAAAGTAAAGGTAGTATAAAGTATAATTCCAAAATGTTATACTTTATTAGTTTTATACAAAATACAGATATTTTACCTTCTAAGTAATCTTTATAATCTAACCCTCTGTATTTTCAATAAATCAAATATTATTATTATTAAGAGAATAAAGGTTTCAAAGAGTAAGGGATGATGGTTGCTGAATGGAAAAACATCTGTGGTAGGATTTGTTCTACCTAATGGAATACAGACAAAATATGATAATAGTTTTGGAACATCATTTCCCTTCTTTTATTTATCATTTATCCAGCAGTTCTTATTCAGTGCAATAAAGTTATTTGTTTTCATACTGCTTGCCCTATCCAGATGGATGTTGATGCAAGGCAGTTCCAATTTATATCCAATTATTTACACTTGTGTCCTTATATAATCTATGCGTGAAATCTTCCAGCACTTATAAAAGAGATCCGCAACACAATTTCTGATTGATTGTTAACCTACGGAATTCTTTAATTTTAACTTTGCCAAACTGATATAGCAAGCCATAAACAATAATTTTCTATATATTTTGAAATATTGAGTATTTCAATATATTGAAATACTGTACCAAGTATTTCTACTAACCAAATACATTTTTAAGAAATACAGATACTGGAAAAAATATATTCCCTTACCTTATTTTCATTCCATATGTAAACTGAATTATATTCATGTTTTGAAAGGCATAGTGGACCATGGATAAGTACTTGGCCCAGACAAGCCATGGTGGGATTCTATTGGCTAGATATCCCCCAAATAGCTGCGTGAAGAGTGTAAAAATTGCTGCAATGGTAATGCCAACTTGTAGATCATAGCACACTGCTCCTATAAGTAGGCCCACACTCTGTAGATATAAATACTCAATTGTGTTATTCTTTCCTCAGAAACCTGACAATGGAAAATCTGTGTAGGAGTCAAATGTTATGGATAGTCTTCTCAGCAAGATGAAAAACTGCAAATACTGTACTGAATAGGAATACAGTATACAGATAATGAAAATCTTTAAGAACAGGATCTACATTACTTAATATTTTCCAATATCTTTGAGATCATGTTTAAACACAATAAAATACAATAAAAAGTCTATTTACTATGAAAATGCTTATAATGATCTACATTGCACATGATTTCATGGTTTAAGTTCCTATTATTGGTGGACATGAAGCCTGGTATGTTTATCCAATGTCAAAGACTGACATTTCCCAGGTTGTAACTCACAATATATTCAATATATAAAAAAATTCTAACTAACAGAAATATGAGGGCAGTAATCAGAGGCAATATATTGGTCTGGAGAAATGTTCCAAGTGGAGACCACAGGGTTCAATTCTCACAATGGTTATCTTCATTGTCTACATAAATGACCTACCAGATGTACTACAGAATTTTATGAACAAGTTTGCTGATGATGCTAAGATACTAGGGCAGATAAGAAACTTAGACAATTGTCACTCCCTTCAAGAAGACCTGGACAAAATAAGTGTATGAAGCACCACTTGGCAAGTAGAATTTTTTGTTATTAAATACCATGCTATGGGATGGGGAATGTGGACTGTCATAAGCAGACCCCCAAAGACCTGGACATCAACACCAGTACTTTGGAGTTGCTCAGGACTGTCCAACTTGGAAAAGCAAAGTCACCACAGAGGCCCATGCAGCAGAAAATAGATGGACTGACGAGGCCTAGTGGAAAAGTGCAAATCTATAGCAACCTCCATTTCTGCAATAGCACCCACCCACAAATGTGCAGTGTGTGGGTGAGCCTTCCTGACCCAGATTGGGCTCATCCTCCATTATCTGACACACAACCGCTGACCTTCAACCTGATATATTGAAGTAAATCCGAAAGGCGACCATCATCATCATGGAATGTGAAATAGGAAAACATAGACCACTCAGCCTACAAATTATGTGAAAATCTTTAAAAAATTCCGATAAAGAAAGAGATATAGGTTCTGTCTAGAACTGCAGGTCCTAGATAGAAAGCTTTCACATGAGGACGACATAAAGAACATCGTATGAAGAGCCTATGCTGCACTTTCCATTTTCAGAATTGTTTTTAAATACATGGTGAAATAGTAAAGAAATTGTTGATGACCTTTGTTAGCCCAAAGCTGAAATATGCTGGTCACTTTTGGTTCTGATCGCTGTTTCTGACTCTGGTCACTGCTAGGCTAAACTAGGCCCCAATGTCAGATGTAAGTCAGAAGTAGAAAACTATCTCAATGAGATAGCTTCAGGGAGCCACTGAGTCTATCAGAAAGTGTTGCTTGATTACATTTAAAGCTGTTTTTTTTGTTTCTGCATCATATAAATATCCTTTTTTTAATCCAACAACATTTCAAAGAAACTCCATAGTAAATGGCTATTTAGAAAGAGATTAAATAACCTGTGCTGTAGATAATTATATTCATTTAGGTGTATATTTACAAATAGTCTTGTGAAAGCAACTGCTAATGCAGTAACAAAATTTAGAAACATGCATCTATATTCATCATAAGCATGTCGTGTTAAATTTGCAGAAATGGCAACACTTTGTTTACAAACTGATTGATGTGTAACAAAATGATTAACAAAAAACAGTTAGCTTAATTGAAAAATAATGCATTAATGGCGTAACTACTTGACGTGAAAACTATATTACTGGTATAACTACTTGATGTTAAAGCTGCATTACTGGCATAACACAACCCATAATCCAAAAATGATAGTAATACCTATAGAAATTATGGATATAAGTACAAAATAAGGACTGTTACACCAAAAGAAAATCCACATTTTGCACTTTTAATTTTGTAAAGGGCACAAAGAGAGGATTGCAACACCCAAGCCTTACTTTTCCTGAGCCAATTTTAGTAAATATATGTACAAATTAGGGCATATATTGTGTATGTCACTCCTAGGATTGCCTATTTTGATCTAGGACAGGTTAGGTTTATAGTTTGTTTAAATCCTTCCAATGCCCTTCGGTATTCCTATACAGTAGTACAAAACATTGACTTTTTTGCATACAAGTCAGTATTTTGTACAGTGTATTCCTCATAGCTATACTGTAATTTTATTAGTTTTGGAAGATGGGTTGACAAAACTAAATAAAATAAATAATTAACTTTAATTTGACATATACAGTATTCTGTTTTAATAAATTATTACTCCACTTGATTTTCTCATTTAGAAGCCCCAAAAATCCAACTAATGAATTGAATGCTCCAAGATTGACTGATTTATTTAAATTACAGCAGACCAAACACATTAATTCAAAGTACTGTATGGTAATTCAGTACTATCAAATGCTGTACCTGTGCAACTAGAGTATTTAGCAGCAGCATGAAGAGGAGCATAAACCCAGTGATGATGTTGTCCCAACCCATCATCGTATATGAAATGAAGAAGTATATGGTTGGCAGTGTGAATGTTAGCGGTAGTTCTCCTACCATCTTCGCTAAGTAGTAGGCACTCACTCGGTACGAGCCACTGGCACGTTCTTTTGTTATCACTTCACGTTCAGCTGGAACTGTAAGTACAGTAGAGAGGAAAGTACAGCATGAGTAACTAATAATAAAAGTTGATACATTTTCTACTCTGCTATTATCATAAAATTTGTGCAATCTTTGGTGAAAAGAGGTAGGTGCTCATTAACAAATATCCGAATGTAACTTAAAAGAGAATTGTCAATTAACAGAATTGCACCATAATTAGTTAATAGAAAAGACGCAATTTAATGATTTTTGAAAATTTAAACTATGAGAAAAATTTTTGGGTTCTTTCAAAATATTTGTGCAAAAAATGGAAATAAGTCCAAGACATTCATAAAGCCCTAAGCTAAAATTGTTGAAAATAAATAAAATAATAAAATAACTTATTTATATGTATGTATGTCGAGTACTCTATTTAAGGGTTCCGGTAGAACAGTCAAATTCATTCAGAACTCACAATCAAGAATTCCAGGTTCAAATCCCGAGTGGAATAGAAACAGCTGGGTGGGTTTCCTATCATGTAATGAACCTGTTCATCTTGCAGTATATGCCCGAAACGCTTTGCGTAATAGTGGCTTTAGGCATTGTATGTACTAGCTATACCTATAAGTTAAACAATCCTTGTAAATATTTATTGTATGTATGTACCTTACCTAAATAAAATTGTATTGTATTGTATTGTGTATATATGTAAAAAATGTGTTGCAGAGATGCATCCTGGATGGGGTCAGTAATTTGTTCTTAGGGTGAATCTCCAATACAGTTTCTGTGTGCTTTTCTCCTACCACTCGTATATACATATGGATGGTAGGAGATACAATACATATATAGACTGAATTTTTTTACATATCTAATACACAACAATACTATACTAAATTGTATTTATATGCACATTTTTAATTTGCATATAATATGTATAATACTGTACAGTATATATATATATATATATATATATATATATATATATATATATATATATATATATATATATATATATATATATATATATATATATATATATATATATATATAAATATATTCACAACATATGTACATACCTATATTCATTCATTCATTGCTGTATAATATAGTTGAGGAGCAAATGTTACCTACATGACTGAAGTGCAGCAAATAGTATGAACAACATCCAGTAATGAGTAGAGAAAAACATCCATCCCTGGATGTCTTGAAGACTTTCTTCAGTGCGTGGTGCTTGATACCAGAGAAGCCCTGCAATTACAGCCAAGATCAGGGTCTGTGCCCCATTCAGCCACGACAGGATGATGGGTCGAGCAACACAAAAGTTCCGTTGCGTTAGTACCTAACATAAAGAAATATTGGAAATATAGTATTAGTTACAGGTAATATGAATTTTCATGTTACAGTTTATAAACATTATATATTACAATACATATATAGACTGAATTTTTTTACATATCTAAAACACCACAATACTGTACTGAATTGTATTTATATGCACATTTTTAATTTATATGAGTATTATTAGTTTTCCAGCATTAGTAATGAATCAAAGTAAAGCCAATGTTGATGTCATGGAATTTGCAATTTTACAACAAACCTTAAATTGTGTAAAGAAAGAAGTTGGCCACTGCATGTCTGAATACTCCTCACATCGTGAAGTAGATCGTGATGTTTCACTTCCCGTCTCCTCCGACCATGATGAACGGCCGCTGTCTTCTTCTTCACCCACAACTAATGTACATTAATGATCATAGTATGAAGAGAACTGCAGTTCTTTTAAAGTAATCATCTAAAGTCTGGAAGAATTTCCATGTTATGTAGTGAACCCTTAGGAAAATATGAGTGAAGGGCTCATTATGTACAGTACAGTGTTGTACCAGTATTTGCATGCAATAGTTGATTCTGCACTCGTCTGAAGGTGCAGACAAGACATAGAACTTAGATACTAGAATTTGTTTTGAAGCATACAAATGATAAATTTTTGGCTGATAAGATCATTCTTTTACTGTATACTTTTAATTATGTGCACTTAAAATACTGTACAATTGATCAGTAAAATTTATATTATTTCAAAAACATTTTGGCTTGTTGTTGACAGCAAGGGAAAAAATGCCCTCTGAATAAGGGTGTGTGTGTGTGTGCAACTGTTCACTATACAAAGTTTAATATACCATTTATAGTCATGGTAAGAAACGCTGAGTGGAATCTTACCTATTTTGTTATATATTGGAGATTCTTTTTTGTCTATATCTATAGTGACAGAGACTTCAGTTGAACACTTTTGTTGATAATGTTGACTCTGTTGTTGGCATGCGGAGCACTCATTGTTCCATGAACAATGATTAGTGTCTATTCCTGAAAAGAAGTAGATTTTTTAAAAAATTTGCTATTAGATTTATGACTCCAACCTATTTGATAATATTCTTCAGGTCTAATATATTTTGAAATATGAATTGAATAACTACAGTAAATGTGCATTGCAATTCATGTGTGAATTACCATACATTTATGTAATAAATGACATTTTTCAGTGCCCAAGTTTGTAACAAAAGATTCTGGAAAAGTTAAACCTGCATTTGTATTAATAGAAAATATTTCCATAACTTAGGTACTTTATTTATTTATAACAGAATATTTTTTGTCATACTAAATGCCTTGAAAGGTGACTAATATTCTACATTCTCAATCTAAATTAAAATACAGTACAGTATATATATATATATATATATATATATATATATATATATATATATATATATATATATATATATATATATATATATATATATATATATATATATATATATATATATACATAGTATAATTAATTTATATTACTCGACTGCATAGCTGCATCTATTCTTAATCAGCGTAATGGTAGTCCAAATGCACTTACCTGTTCTTACATGAATAGCTGGTAGAGAAAGGTATTTGGAGTAGAGAGAGTTTATGGATGGGGATGTCTGGAGTGTAATATTCTGCGGGAGATTAAAATTCAATCTTATTCCTTCTTTTGCACCCTGAATTAATCGTTCTTGCACTTCAGGTGGTCCTTTAACTTGCTCCACTAGGAAAAGAAACAAATTATAACTATGAACTTAAAAACAAAGATTTGCCATTCTACAGTATATTTAAAAAATAACTCATTTTATGTTTTCGTTAGTCTAGGAAGCACATAGGAATAAAAAAAAATATATGAATATGGAATTCTTATTTGTTTAAATTATTTTACTGACTAATATACATTATATGAAATGCACATTTTTGTGCATTTTGTTTCTGTTTCCTGTCTTTCAGGTATTACCTAATCCCATCCAAAATTACTTATGATCCAAAAATAAAATAAAACAATTATTACAATTGGCTTGCACATACAGTACCGTAGTAAAAAAAATCCATACCTCTGCACCTATTCCAGTCCTTCTTACTTAATCCCACCCAAATCACCAACATGCAGTATCTCTTAGCCTCTGCACAATATATAGTGAATCCAAATATATTTATACATGTACAAAGAGGGAGTGAGTTAGTTTATTTAGTTCTGTTTGTAAAATTATTAATATACTTCTGTAAATGAGTTGCTAGAGTTAATGGTGCATGTTTCTTCATGTGAGTAGGCAGTGTGAATGACTGGGTAATGGGACAAGTGTATCTGTAACATTCTTTCCCTATATTGCTTCTCTTTTTATCATCAGAATGATGTAACATTCATCATACTCCTCATAGAGAATGGTGGTAGTATTCACAAATTTACAGTATTAGTTACACAGCAGGGGGGCCAACCTTCACAAGTTCCTCATACTTCTCATTCAGAATGAGGGGTAATGTTCACAAGCCACAAGTTTATCATACATCTTATAAACAATGGAGGAATTCTTTACAAGCTCCGTGTTTCACTGACAGGCAATGAAGATGGTAACCAACAGATAAATACTGTATTTATAATGTTATTTTCATTTTACATTATGGGTTCAATAGCATAGTAATCTATGTCTTTGCCTCACAATTGAGAGACTTGGGTTCAATCTCCAAGTAGGACAGAAATAGTTGTTCATGTTTACTTTCACACGATGCCTCTGTTCACCTATCAGTAAAATATGTACTTGGGAGTTTCACAATGATTATGGGGCTGCATCCTGGTGAAGGTCAGTATTTGGTCTATGGGACCTCTGTAGGCCTAAGAACAGGCTCCCTCTCCCTGATAATAAAAAACAAATAATCAACTGAATAAAAACACTTTTCAAATCTTATATTCTATTATTCTTACATATAAAGTCAGCTGGATTGTAGTGAGGGGCGATTGGAAGACCTAGACTGGAAAAGTGCTCAACAACTTTTCTTGTGTCCCCAAAATATGCATTCTGCAAATATAAAATGTAAGTTTTAATAAATTGTAGTGCCTAATTATTTATAAAAGTTATTTGGGCAATATGTCATTTGTGTACAATCACATACAGTAATTGATATGTTAATGTTATTCAGGATGAGCTAAATTTAAAAGAATTTTTGAAAATTTGAAAATATACAAAATCGCTCTGGCTGATTGTAAGTAGTCAATCCTTCCTTACTAGGTCAAGTACGTAGTGCACTTTTATCTATTACGCATAATATTTTGTCATGCTTAATACAAGTAATATATTACCTAAATATTAGGGTACAATATTTTTGTATAACTAATGTTTATACAATATAATAAACTAGCATTTACTATATACAAATTTCAACCTTGTGGATGAAAAGTAGAAATAGAATCTTTCTAACCTGTGTGTAACATTTAGCAGAATATGTTAGTATATGAATACAATTTCTCATTTAGAGCTTACTTGACCATTGCAGAGTAAAAGTAACCGATCAACCATATAAAAAATTTGTGAGGAGGGTTGATGAAGAGTTACTATAACAGTTTTGTGTTCTTTCTCGGCAAACTGCTTAAGCGTCGATATCAAGCTGTGTGCTGTACTAGAATCTAACCCTGATGTTGGTTCCTGCATGAGAAGAGAACAGATTATACCATTTAGTGACTTATTTCTATGAGCTCACACTATTATTGTCTAATAATTTCTATATTATATTTCTGTCTAAAATTTTGCATTTGAACTCTCAGTTCTTCTGAAATTAACAATTGCCTGCCCCACCTTTCAAATTACTACTACACTATTTTATTTAACTAAGGCTTCTGTACTATCAAAGTGATCTGGTAAATTTGAACTAAGAACAAGATTTGTAGTTATAATATACCTATTAATATTAATAATACACAGAGAGTAATTGCACTACCGTGACTGAATCAATGAGAAAATCCATAGGACTATGTGGGAACACCCATCGCATAGGCTCAAACCCTCATCACGGTTCCTATGGATTTTCTCAATAATAATAAAAGTAGTAATAATAATAATAATAAAAATAAGAATAAGAATATTTTATTGGTAAAATATGCATCTGTAAGAATATAATGCAGAAATATGTAGGCGATGAGTCACAATAACGTAGCTGCAGTATGTTGACCAATCCACAAACTAGAAAATGAAGAGACAACGACGTTTCGATCCATCCTGGACCATTCTCAAGTCGATTGTGAAGACAGTCGACTTGAGAATGGTCCAGGATGGACCGAAACGTCGTCGTCCCTTCATTTTCTAGTGTGTGGATTGGTCAACATAATGCAGAGATATATTTGAAGGCAACGGAGATGCATATTAAATAAAGCCATTAATATGCAAAGCTTTTCAGGGAGAACTATGAATAATTCAATTAAGTTTTGTTATGGTTAAAAGGGGGGCAAACATTGAATACTAAATTAGAAGTAAACTAAAATGAAATGTTCAAGAAGTTTAGCAAATGATAAATAATATATAGATGATATACCTATTTCATTTAGTAATTTCTATGTGTTGAAATGCCACATGAAAATGAACATCTGTTTGGAAAAATATACTGTACAATTTTAGTTGCATTCAAAATCAAATCAAACTTTAAAATGCTAATAAGTGGAACTTACATCAAGAAGCATAATGGAAGGGTTGGTCAGCAATTCACAAGCAATATTTGTTCTTTTTCTTTCTCCACCAGAAAGGCCTCTATTTAACACCTTACCAATAACTGCAATAAATATTTAAGGTGAAATTACCATTAGATGTGTGACTATATTAAAAAATAAAATGAAAATGAAAAATAACATGTATTTTATCATGATATTATATTGCTAGTTTTATCCTGAATTTACCTGACAGCCACCATTATTAATGGTGGCTTAATAATGGTATTACCATTATTATTCCAATTTAGATCAATTCATTATTGTAAAATTATGTGCACCTATAATTATTAAGAACCTATTTGCACAGTACTAAATTTGTTATAGTATAGTAAATTTTTAATGAATATTCAGATACTGTACTACAACTAGTTCAGTTAATCCGCACCACTCTTTCCTTATATCATGAGCAGTTAAATAGTTTACATCCTGGTTCTCACTCATGGCAATGAGTACACAAGCACAAACAGTGAAGGAATGATGCCTAATCATCTTAACCTGCTTAGGGTTTAAACTTTGGTAATTTTTACATGTGGGACATGCAATATCCATATCCCCCAACGTGGTTCAAAATTAAAAAGATCTCAAAACCTAATACTCTGTAACTTACTCACCATTAATTATCAGCCTTTGCGGACATGGTATTACAGCAGATCAATATGCAAGCAATACTACAGTAGCATGTTAAGTCTGCCCCACAATATACAGCAGCTTTGTTAGGATCATCATCAGATATTTCTATATTGAAATTACAAGGTGGAAAATGGGTCCAGATAATGTGTATAACATCTCTACTTTGGAACTTGAAACTGTACTCGAAAAGAGCAGAGCAACTTTTTGAGACCATGGCATGTCATACTGTCTTCTGAGGCTTCTTGCAGATCTACCTGACAGCCATATGTTGGAACAATACAAAGTTTACGGCAAGGTCTTCTCAGAGCTGGACATAAGTCCTGATAAAATAAGTATTCATTTTGTCATCCTATAACCAAAACTTCCTCAAACCATAGCATATCTAAGTAGAAATAAACCTCTTCCCTCTGATACTGAATTGCTACATAGTAAGAAACTTCTAACTACTTTAATTAATCTTGCCAATTTTTGCTGTACTAATAGTTAACAGTGTATTAGACCTTAATATTTTAATATAAATTTAGTTGTATTGTACTGTACTACAAAATCACTGTACTCACTCGTGTCTTGGCAGTGCTTGAGGTCAAGTAAATTGAGGATATGGTCCACAAGATTCATTTTCTCTTGGTACGTCATGCTGTCTGGTAGTCGGAGAAGTGCTGTGTACTGCAGGTGAAAATTGTTTCATTCTAGGAACACTTCATCTATTTCTACAAATTAATAGAGACAATGAAAACTGTAAAACACAAGTGCTCATTGATTTTAGCTTCTGATTAACTAGAAATCAAGTTAAATATTTAACCCTCTGTGGGGAGACATTATAATGTGCAATCACATTGTGTTCATCAATCCTGAAAAAATTAAAAGAGAAGCTAAATATACTAAAATCAACCTAGAACAAGGCTACTAGGCTAACAAAAAAACTTGAGAAATCCTTACCACAAGGGTTTGTCTTAATGTAAGATTAGCATAGAAGATATCATCCTGCAGGACATAGCAGATCTGACGTTTATGGCGTTTGTTAAGTGGCGCCCCTCCTATGGTGATGGTTCCACTAGTGGGACGCACTCGCCCACTGATAGCATTGAGAAGCGACGTCTTCCCCGAACCTGTAAAGATTATTGTCATGTGACAGATGAATATATTATCTCTCCTTCCTTATATATGTCCAACCACTTGGGCTGGACGGTAGAATGACGATCTTGCTTCATACAGGTCGACGTTCAATCCCTGACTGTCCAAGTGGTTGGGCACCATTCCTTTCCCCCTGTCCTACCCCAAATCCGTATGTTAATCCCTTCCAAGTGTTATATAATCGTAATGGTTGGTGCCTTCTCATAGTTTCTGTCCCTTCACTTTCCTAATAATTTTGCTGGGAATATACAGCTCATGCTACTGTTTTGGTAGTATTTGTAGTAATGATGGGGACCATACTATATAAACCGGCATACAACGAAATTAGAAAGTAGAAATCTGAAACATTGAGTTAGACAAACCAGAAAACTATTTTGTGTTGCTTAGACAAACTGAACAAACATAACCTGCCTTTCTAGGCCTAATGCATGATATCTGACCCTAATATAATATATATGTGTGCTATACTAGGCCTAGGAATATTTAAGTTTGATTTTTAGCTTCATTTATTTTAGAAGAATTCCTTACTAGTCAGTATACTACTGTCTAAAAGCTAAGTACGTATGGATTCGTGACTACTGACGACTGTCACAATAGGTACTATCTAAACAGGAGGATGGGGTTGTAATATACACATTTAACAAAAATTATAAGAAGGCTAGAATTTCACAATTAATGACTATTATACACACACAGTTTCTTTTTCTAAATATTTATTTCCTAAAATGAATGAGGTCCTCTGCATAATTTACAACTGAGTGAAACGTTCGCTGATTGTGGGAGCATGCACTGTACAGTACAGTACTGGGTAACTTTACATTCATCATGTTTGCCAGCTTAATTTCCAGAAGTTGACAAGCTGATAGCTGGTAATGCTGCAAGAGACCTCATATTGTGTAGTATTATAGTGTAATGTACTTTACACTGCATTTGATGTGTATTAGTATATTTTGGTAGCAGTCTTTCTTGTAAACATATGTTGTTAAATATGACCGAAAGGGTAAGAGTAATAATTCTAACATGAATCTTCTCAATATTTTTTATGTTTTTCTTCACTGTGGAGAGTAATTGAAAAATTAACTCTCCAAAATTCATTCTTTTATTTTTGGTCTGACACCTAAACGCGTTTCGTAATGCATATTGCATTTTCAAAGACTAGTTTACACTTAACATACATCATTGCCTATATACTGAGTTCTTTGGGATTTACAGTCCCCAAGCGGGCATGTGAAGGCATAGACGACATTGTTTTCCTTCATGGCATTCCATTTGGTGTCTGGGGAATTTTTCATGAGTAGGTTGGCCGTTTTTATATTTTTGTAGTAAATTGTCAATTGTATTTTCTGATTTTTGTCTGTAGCGATAACGTTCCTATCAATTATATCTTTCAAGACCCTTTCCTCCGTTTTATGAGCCGTTGAAAAGAAGTTCCTGTAAAAATAGTCTTATAAAGGGTACAAGTGTTGTGCTAGTTAACTCTTCAGAGGTTGCTTGGCGTTTCACCTTTCTTTTTATGATACGTTGACTCATCGAGCAAAGGGTTTTAGTTGACATGGACTTGAAACCTGCAATATACTGCAGGTATGTTGACAACATTTTTATGCAGGTATCTGATGTCAGACGTCAGCAGCAGCTGAAGGAGGCATTCGAGCAGAATTCTGTGTTCAGTTTCACTTACGAGATGGAGAATGATGGGAAACTGCCCATTCTAGATGTAACAGTCATGGAAAGAAACGGAGGCTTCCACATGGCAGTCTACACTAGGAAAACAAACATAGGAATGTGCCTCAATGCCAATAGTGACTGTCCAGACAAGAGGAGTGTTGTCAATGCTAACGTCGACTGGGCTCTCAGTCATAGCTCAGGATGGAAGCATATCGATGAAGAACTCGGTAGGGTAAGGCAGGTCCTAGTCAACAATGGCTTCTCTAACGGTTATGTTGAAGACGTCATAAAAAGAAAGGTGAAACATCAAGCAACCTCTGAAGAATCAACTAGCCTTGTAGCCCCTATTAGACTGTTTTAAAGGAACTTCTTTTTTGATGGCTAAGAAAACGGAGGAAAGGGTCCTGAAAGATATCATCAATAGGAACGTTATCCCTGCAGACAAATATCAGAAAATACAATTGATAATTTACTACAGAAACAAAAAAACGGCCAACCTACTCATGAAAAACACCTTAGACACCAAACAGAACGTCTTGAAGGGAACCAATGCCGTCTATGCCTTCACATACCTGCTTGGGGACTGTAAGCCCCAAAGAACTCAGTATATAGGCAAGACAACAACGTCTCTTTCTAGGCAAATTAATAATGCACAAACAACAGGGCTCTATCAAGGAACATATAATCTCTTCTCACAACCAGAAAAATCTTAATAAGTAATGCAGAAATCATCGGTAAATACAGCGATAGCAGGAGACTCGACATCAGCGAGACACTACACAACAAAAAGTCAACACCAGCAATCAACAGCCAATTAATGCACAATTATGTTCAACCCACTTCAAGACCCCGAACCAACATAGAAGCAGCAAGAGGAAGAACGGGCCAATAGGCCTTCTGCAGTTACTTCCATTCTTATGTTTTAATACCCATTGACTCATATTCTGGCATAGTTCTGTCACCTCACCGAAAACTTTTGAGCCATATCACCTCACCCAAAACGAGTATAAGTATGATGTATGTTATTGTAAACTAGTCTTTGAAAATGTAATAAGCATTACGAAATGTGTTCAGGCTTCAGACCAAAAATAAAAGAATTAATTTTGGAGAGTTAATTTTTCAATTACCCTCGACAGTGAAGAAAAACGTAAGAAATATTGAGAAGATTTATGTTAGAAATATTAATCTTACCCTTTATATATATATATATATATATATATATATATATATATATATATATATATATATATATATATATATATATATATATATATATATATATATATATTGGCAGCAGGTTCTTTCAAACATGTTTCATTGAATATGACCGCATATTCTGTATTTATTATTTTCTGGTTTAGGGCTTCTATCCCTCTAACTATTTTCTTAGCATCAGGGCTTAGTTGAAATAGGAGTTCTCCAAAACTCATTTTCGTATTTTTAAAATGAAGAAAAGAAGTGATTTACTATAGAAAGTAAATGACGACATGTAATAGATAGAATGTAATGACGACAAATAAGTGTAATACATTCTATAGTAAATCACTTCTTTTCTTCACCTTAAAAGTACGAAAATGAGTTTTGGAGAACTCCTATTTCAACTAAGCCCTGATGCTAAGAAAATAGTTAGAGGGATAGAAACCCTAAACCAGAAAATAATAAATACAGAATATGCGGTCATATTCAATGAAACATATATATATATATATATATATATATATATATATATATATATATATATATATATATATATATATACAGTATATATATATATACATACATATACATATACTTCAAATTCTACATTGCGGTGCGTGTATCATTTCAGGTGGGTAACAGATGAAATGCGTTCCGAACTCTGTACATACATGAAACTGTACGCGAAACGTCCGTAGAGTTATGAGTGTTGCTTTATTCGAGTGCATAATTATAACCCATTATAATGAGACAGACATTGCAGCAAATTAGCGTGCAACAAAGATGAAGTTGAATTAGATCTTGGTATCCCCATTTCTACTGTCAAAACTATATTGGTCCAAACACTCAGGTCTGATAGGAAAGTAATTACTGACTCCCTGAAAGCTGAAGCTGATACTTACAATACAATACAATACAATACAATACAATTTTATTTAGGTAAGGTACATACATACAATAAATATTTACAAGGATTGTTTGACTTATAGGTAGAGCTAGTACATACAATGCCTAAAGCCACTATTACGCAAAGCGTTTCGGGCATGATAAACTTAAATGACAAGCTTAATACTAATTGAGCATAATGAGTAGAATGAAAACAAGAAATGAAAACATAGATGAAAAAGCAGCACAAAAAGAAAAAAAGAAAGAAGAAAAAAACAGACATTGGTTGACAATAGAAGGGTAAGGTAGGTTACAGGGAATTTATTAGGTATAGCTTCGCTTTTAACTTAAACTGGTTGAGAGAGGTACAGTCTTTAACATGGTTGGGAAGGTCATTCCACATTCTGGGCCCCTTGATTTGTAGAGCATTTCTAGTTTGATTAAGTCGTACTCTAGGAATATCAAAACTGTATTTATTTCTGGTGTGATGCTCATGGGTTCTGATACAACCTTCTATGAAGCTTTTGAGATCAGGATTGGCATTATAGTTTAGCGTTTTATATATGTATAATACACATGAGAGAATGTGCAGTGACTTAATGTCTAACATATTCAGAGATTTAAGTAGGGGTACCGAGTGATGTCTGGGGCCAGAATTGGATATTGTCCTAATAGCAGCTTTGAGTTGAGTAATTAGAGGACGTAAGTAACTTGAAAGCACTAGTATAAAAAAGCTATGATTTAGTTCAGATCAGAAACCTATATCTATGGGCAGCACAAAACGTCCACCAGACTGTGCGACACAGTGGTTGCCAGGATCAGGTTGGGTTACCGTTACCTGTGGCAGGTGGCTACAGGTGACGGATCTCCCAATCCTGAGCACTCCAGGTGAAAACTCTGGGAGCAGGAACTGCGGCATGATCTCCCACACTACGTCACCGAATGCCCAGTTATTAGACCTTTCAGACCAGCTGGCAAGAGGTACCTGGAGCTTTGCAATTACTTTATTCATCCTCGTCTTCTTGAAGATATCCTCACAGTGTACCCAAAATTTGTCAGTGCTATCTACTAAACATATGACCCTGTATGACTAACCATCCTACGAGATGGGGACTTTTATCACCACTGTTACCTTATTCACTTATGTGCTCATGATATCCTCATTATGCTTCCAGAGTCTGCCTGTGCAGACTACTTATCACATGCCTCTGTATGACTAACCATCCTGTGTGATGGGGATTTTTTAGCATCACGTAGTTAGCGTTTTGACACACTGTACTCCCTTTCATATAGTCTAGGGTAGCTGCACAAATTCAGATGTACCTAATGTATTAATAAAAAAAAAAAGAGTGCCTATAATCATACAGATTACATTACCGAATGTCCAGTTATTACACTCTTCAGACCTGCAGGGTATGTAGTACCTGGAGCTTTGCAATCATATTGCAGCGACTTGAGAATGGTCCAGGACGGACCGAAACGTCGTCGTCCCTTCAATTTCTAGTGTGTGGTCTGGTCAACTTAATATTAAATGAATAACTGTGTGTGTGTGTGTGTGTGTGTGTGTGTGTGTGTGTGTGTGTGTGTGTGTGTATTCTCCAATTTATGTCAGGAAGATCAAGCTCTTGGACCCCGACTCTCGAACCATTCTAACCTTTGGTTGTCTAATGGTCTAACTCCCACATATATATTTATATACATATGTATATACCGGTAAGCCACATGCCACCTACCTGAAGGACCCATGATAGCCAACACCTCCCCTGGCTTGCACCCGCCGCCCACACCAGAGAGAATGGGCGTTTTGTCCAGCATCAGACTGACGTCGCTAAACGCCACGTCCAACGGGCGTCGCCGCGGCCAGCCAATGGTTACCCTGGAAGAGAATAAATAATTAATGTATCGCCAGTCGCAAGAACGAGGTCATTAGCTTTTAATACAAGAGGAAGATCATTTGAAAATGGGGGAATATTTTCTATGGAGTTGGATCGTAAAACTGCCGAATGGAGGAGCAGAAGGATGGATGTAAACAAATCCACAAGGGCCGTGACGAGGATTATATATTATCCTCGGCACGGCCCTTGTGGATTTGTTCATTTGATGCATCACTTTTTTTTTTTTTTATTAACATATTAGGTACATCTGCATTAGTGCAGCTACCCTAGACTATATGAAGTGGAGTACAGTGTGTCAAAAAAGCTAACTAGGTGATGCTAAAAAATCCCCATCACACAGGATGGTTAGTCATACAGAGGCATGTGATAAGCGGTCTGCACTGGCAGACTCCGGATGCATTTTGAGGATATCAACAACACAAGATTGAATAAGGCATCACGTTAGTGTGATCTCTGTGTGTAAAGGATGCAAGTATCTTGGCATCACAGCGGAGGTCTAAAATCTTAGTTGGACATCAGTTGCAAGTCTCTGTTGCTCGGTGTTGCTCGGGTGATAGAGATCACATCATCACTGCAGATTGACTTCACAATTAATTATCTTTATTACACACTATCTTCATCTAAGTAATCATCATCAATATACAACGTTTATAACTGTAAAACCATCTTTACTTCAACACGTTTCTCACAGTAATCATCTTCACTCGTTCTTGAAGACTGTAGCTATCTACACTATATACTGTCATCACTGTAAGCATCTTTTCTACGTGGTCCCTGTCGGTTACATGAACTCCGACCATCATCATCAAAACCTTCCCTCTCCTTCATCCCCGTATCTTCCCTCTCATTCACCTCCTTCTTTCACCCTTCACCTACATCCTTCCTTCACGACTTTCGTCCTCTTACATCTCTTTCCCTATCTGGGAATTATGTACTGTGGAGCTGACTTTTCATCTAGTAAATCGAGGCTCTTGTGCCACCCTCTGTACCTCTCTGCTCTCTTTCCCTCTCTGCCTCCACTACCGTCCCTATCCCTCACTACCCCCTATTCCCTCCCCCTACCTCTCACCACCGTCTCTACCCTTCACTCCTCCTCCTCATCATCACTGTAACCATCATCACTCAACGCTATCTGCAACAAACCTTGAATCATCACCTCGAAAATAATACGAGGGGCGAATCTTAGCACACGTACACTAAAAACATCATTGTCCCACAGTTCAAGGACACTCAAGAACTATTCACATAGTGAATGGAACAGTTCAAGGTGTTTATCAATACTGTTCTGGTATACAGAGAGAGAGAGAGAGAGAGAGAGAGAGAGAGAGAGAGAGAGAGAGAGAGAGAGAGAGAGAGAGAGAGAGCTTTAAGACATGAGGCAAGAATCTTAACCCGGGCCTCACCATCCTGGCAACCGTGGGAGGTGAGATTGGCGTTCTTCTCAAGTCTCCCCCTCCTGTGGGGGCTCGGCTGGACGCCCTCGGGTTACCGGGAACAACCTCACTATAATCGAGGTTTAAAAACGCGTATTACTGAGCTCTTCACATTGGAAGGAGGGACTGGGGATTGGGGTTTATTTAGTGATAAAACGATTTCATTACTGTTTTGATAATTCATTGGTTTTGCTAGCTAAACCTGTTAGGAATGAGATGGGGGGATGGGTGGGGTGGGGGGTCTGTATGTGCTTAGTAGGAAAATAAGAGACAGGATACAAAAACTGACGACTCATCCCCTTGTGACGTAAGCTTTTTGCCATCACTATACTTCCGGCTAATAGATGTCAAGAGGTAGATGATGTTCATGTTCTAATGAGCTGCAGGTGCTGCAACTTCCTCCTGCGTCTGACATCACAACAACTTTGGGGATTTACTGGTTTCCTTGGTATAACCAAGGAGCAGCCGAGTAATAAACTTTTCCTACTAGTTATCTTACAGTGGAGGCGTCTAGTTTCTGTGTCTGGACACTAGGGGCCAGATTCACGAAAGCACTTACGAACCTGTACATCTTTTCTCAATCTTTGGCGGCTTTGTTTCCACTTATTAAACAGTTAATGAGCTCCGAAGCACCTGGAGGATGTTTATAACAATAACAACAGTTGAATGGGAAGTTTTCATGCTTGTAAACTGTTTAATAAATGTAATCAAAGCCGTCAAAGATTGAGGAAAGATGTACACGTTCGTAAGTGCTTTCGTGAATCTGGCCTTAGTAACCTGGGTACGTTACGCTATTTGGAAGCACACACACACTATGGGTACTCAAGGTAAGGTAAGGTAATGATTGCTGCTACCTTGCCCGAGCAGCCCGTCGTCTCCAGCGTTCACAACGCCACTAAACTGATGTACTAAATTACCCGAGTCTAACCTAACTGAGGACCCATGCATAGAAAACAGGGGCTAGATTCACGGAAGAACTTACGCAAGCACTTACAAACGTGTACATCTTTCCTCAATCTTTGATGACTTTGGTTACATTTATTAAACAGTTTACAAGCATGAAAATTTCCCAATCAACTGTTGTTATGTTTATAAACAGCCTCCTGGTGCTTCGGAGCTCATTAACTGTTTAATAATTGTAAACAAAGCCGCCAAAGATTGAGAAAAGATGTACAGGTTCGTAAGTGTTTGCGTAACTGCTTCGTGAATCTGGCCCCAGCACATCATGTCACTTTTGCGAGCCGATTTTTAGTAGATTTTAAGTGGATTTTAAGTGGATTTTAAGTGGATTTTTAGTGGATAAATTCTGATACAATTCGAATCAAGTTTTTAAACAACAAAATGGCGAGGATAAAATATTTATATAAGAGAATGTGCAGGGAATATGGTTAAGTTTAAGGATATATAATAGTGTAATATATAATATTATAATCTATTATAATCTGCTGTAATCCGAAGAAGAATGAATCAGAGGGCCATCATCTCTAGTAGCGTCGACGAGGAGAAGAACAAAGCTCCATAGCGTCTTTCAAACAATGTTATTCTCTTATGTTCTCTGAAGAAGCACATAAGGAAACTGGAAAAGATATATAAGTTTGCGACACGAGGCTCTAAGAGTCAATGCGGGTCCCCAAGAGTCAATGCTCGATCCTGCAGGCACAAATTGACGAGTACACACACACACACACACACACACACACACACACACACACACACACACACACACACACACACACACACACACACACACACACACACACACAAGTGGAGTGAGAGGCCACAGACAGGCACCTGGGTGCAGGGACCTGCCTACCCGCCATTCCGCTGAGGTCATCATCCCGTCGCTCTCCTCATATTTACATCTCATAATCATAAATAAAGTCTGCCCCATGTAATTTGCTTTATTAATAATTTTAACGAATGTATAATACAGGCTTTATCATTTAAATTTAATATGTGAATTCGATAACAAAAAGCAGCTTGATACTACTAGTATTACGCGTTTAATGGTTCCAAGTGCATAGTTGATAAGCTATGAGATTCCAGATAACCTTGAGGTTACCTTCAGGTGTTTTCGGGGCTTAGCGTCCCCGCGGCCCGGTCGTCGACCTGGCCTCCTGGTTGCTGGACTGGTTAACCAGGCTGTTGGACGCAGCTGCTCGTAGCCTGACGTATGAATCACAGCCTGGTTGATCAGGTATCACTTGGAGGTGTTTATCAACTTCTCTCTTGAACACTGTGAGGGGTCGGCCAGTTATGTCCCTTATGTGTAGTGGAAGCGTGTTGAACAGTCTCGGGCCTCTGATGTTGATAGAGCTCTCTCTCAGAGTACCTGTTGCACCTCTGCTTTTCAACGGGGGTATTCTGCACATCCTGCCATGCCTCCTGGTCTCATGTGATGTTATTTCTGTGTGCAAGTTTGGGACCAGCCCCTCTAATATTTTCCATATGTAAATTATTATGTATCTCTTCCGCCTGCGCTCTAGAGAATACAGATTTAGGTTCTTAAGTCGGTCCCAATAGTTTAGATGTTTTACTGAGTGGATTCTAGCAGTAAAGGATCTCTGCACGCTCTCCAGGTCAGCAATTTCTCCAGCTTAAAAAGGGGCTGTCATTGTGCAGCAGTATGCAGCAATAAGGTTATAAGTTTTAAACTAGTACATCGTATTTTTAACGACTGGTCGATTCCGTTATAGAAAAATTAACTGTTAGGTGAGAGTAGACAGTGAAAAACATTGAGGTAGAGTTAAGTAAAGCTTGAGATAATGACAGCAGAGCAGAGAACTGAATTTATTGGAGATACGGCCTTTAAAGCTTTGTCAAGGGGAGGCCCTTTGTATATGAGGGTGGCTAACTCCAGTCCATTTATACATGTGGGTATTGTGGTTACAATAATATATATATATATTTATATATATATATATATATATATATATATATATATATATATATATATATATATATATATATATATATATATATATATATATAATATATATATAATATATATATATATATATATATATATATATATATATATATATATATATATATATATATATATATATATGTATATTTTAGTAGCAGTCTTTCTTGTAAACATATGTTGTTGAATATGACTGAAAAGGTAAGATTAATTATTCTAACACGAATCTTCTCAATATTTCTTACGTTTTTCTTCACTGTCGGGGGTAATTGAAAAATTAACTCTCCAAAGTTAATTTTCTGATTTTTATTTATGGTCTGACGTGTAATAGCATTTCGCAAGGACTTCTCACATTTTCAAAGACAGGTTCTTACACACATCATTTCATGCCTATATTCGTTTTTGGGTGAGGTGATGTGACACAAATATTTTTGGGTGAGGTGACAAAAGACAGAACACGAAACAATGGGTATATTGCATATTTGCTGCTTCTGTTTTGCTGTATTGGTCTTGCTGCTTCTATGTTGGTTCGGGGTCTTGAAGTGGGTAGAATATAGTTATGTGTTCACACGTAACTATATTGCATGTGTGTATTTGTGTGTGTGTGTGTGTATGTGTGTGT